GAGATGCAAATGTCGACCTAAAGTGTTGTACCCTTTAGAGGGCAACTCACAGTAGCCTATCTAACAATATATAGAATATATAAACATTTGACAGAATGGCTTTTGACAGGGAATCAATTACAGCACGCCAGCACGCGGCTTCCCTCCTCGTTTCATTGCTAGTCATTGGGATAATCTGCGGTCCCGCGACTATAGGTGCGTCGGAACTGGAAGATGCCATCAACAGGGCGAACCAGGTAGGAGTTACATTTTTTTCCAGTCGTTCTGAGCTCCGAATCGCGCGCAGGAACCTGAGCCCCGTGTATGACGCGGAGACTTTCCTCAGTAGGAGGCTATTTGTAGGAGCTGCGCCTAAATCCGTATATACGGAATCTAGCAATAGTACAATTTGAGATTTGCAATATACCCTTTGTATAGGCATACGTCGTATCCTCGTCATTTGTAGTCGGAAAGTCGAGCACATCATTCGTCTCGCACAATGGACGCAAATCCTGGATCTAAACCCTCTGTATGTGCATGATAATGATTGGTGTGCCTTTTTTGTTTGTCCAACGCCGGCGTGGCGTGAGTACAGAGAGGAGGCGGGATCCCCACTGGGATCGTTCTCAAATCCGACGTGTATCTCACGACGTAAGTTCCCCATCTCACGTCGTCCATCGCGAAAAAGGACTTGCCAGAAAGCTGCGGGAAAGTTGCAAAAAGGATACTTTTTGGATACCTTGGTTTTGCAACTTTCCAGTGATGGTCAAATGTTGCAGAAATCCAAGTCACTGGAAAGTTGCTAAAAAGTTGCATTTCTGCAACATTTCCGCAACAAAACCGCGACATAGTGGACACTTGTTGGATACATTTTGTATACATTTCAGTCACATGTATGCAATTTCACTACCTGCCACGTGGCACGCGTACGGTTTCGTCTTTGAAGTGTACGTACGCTGGTACGTTCGCGAAGATATTTTGCCACGTCAGCTACGAGATTTCTGCCACGTGTCATTCACGATATGTGGACTAAGGCGTGACACTTGGACCAATCAAACAAGCAGTGTGAACGTGGGAAAATTGATTTTAATAGGCCGCCTAATTGCCTGAAATCAGAGCATACGTGTAACAGGTGTGTTTGAAAGTATACATTATACACTATTCATATTCTCTTGGGACATTTGCATGCATACATAACAACATACACAGAGCACGATCTAGGCGAAAAACCAACACAGCTATTGCAACGACTACACATCTTCAGATCTCAATGGCAGATGAATATAGGGCGAAATCACGCTTCGTTTGCGGGCCTGCAAACAGAAATACGACATAGTGTTAGACCTGGGTTAGTAGTTGGTGATTGTTCCCTACCTCACTGACCTACCGCCCGCGGGCCTTGAATTGAACTGATAACATTGCCATGAACAAGATTGACAACTACTGAGTCCCGATAAAATCCCTGCAAAATAAAAAAATGTATATATATCTCGAGGCAACCACTGACCCTGCATCGGTCTTGGTACCACACAGAAAAAGACAGCTAAACGTTAGCGTTAGAGGCTGGATAATATATAACTCGAAACGAGCATGGGGAAGAAGCCAGGACGATTAAACAGAGTTGCAAGCGGAGGCAGAGAGAGACCGAAGGTCCTCCCGCATGCAGAGAGCGTGATGACGATCTGTGTATTGGGTGGATGAAGCGGAAACATCAAGTAACTGATTAAAGTGGCACGGTGCAGCGCAGTTTAATACATGAGAAAATATATCTGCGTTCATTTCGGGAAGAAAGAGAGGGAAACGAGAACAAAAGAAGCCTAACCCGTGCGAATAAATGACAAGTGAGGATCACAACAGGAGTGATGAGAATCGTGGCTAAAAAAATTCACGCTTTCAGCGCAGAACACGGCGCTTCCGCCGCCGCGCAACGCGCTTTACGTCGCACCGTTCGTAGGTAGACGGGTGCTGAGTCCGCGGCGATTCGCGCGCAGAACATCCTCCGCGTGGGGAGAGCAAGTCGATGAGCTGTATATAGGACGGGAGGTACAGATGCAGAAAGGGACAGATGGAGAAAAGAAGGGGACAGATGCAGGCTGAGACGGTATATCTGGACAGATAGTAGCTTGAATAGATACTTCCTATACTAGTTTATTACATACACAGAAGGAAGAGCATACGGAAAACGCTAGTTGATGCGTGAGGATTACTCAGAGGCACGAGCTGCAGGCTGGACTGGAAGAAGCTGGGAAAGTTGTGTGAACAATGAGCTACGCAACTAGCGTGTTGTGTGAATTCGAAAGAGAGATGCTTCTAAAGCTCCAAAGTGTGATGATGTGTCTTCACGGATGCCGTAGATTTATGGTACTAGCCTACATCGCACCAGTAATTGGTTAGTAAAAAATCATCAATTCCGGTTACCTAAGCTGTGATCCGGGGAAGCCACGTCACTCACACAGAATCTGAACACTTAATTTGATTGGGCGTGACATGGAACTGTATGCCAGCTGCCAGTTTCGATTCTGGGTTGTGCCTTCGCGAGCCTCGTTTGAGTTTGTATCCCAGTTACTGTGCTCGCAACGTTCGACAATGCCTGCGTGATTCGTGTGCTTACTAGTGTTCATCAATCATACACCAGCAAGGGAGACTCCCGAGATTTGGTCGTGACCAGGTGTACTGTTCGGTGAAGATGTTTCAAAACTGATGTGTGAAATTCGCGGCTCGGGTAACCCACGTATACAAAATTCGCGCCCCGGCTGACCCACGTAGCCAAAATCCACGGCTCGGAAGCCAGCTTGTATCCGAAATTGGTGCATGTTGCGGTTTTCACTCAGTGCTTTTCGGATACTTTTCAGGTAGGTTTCTGCAACTTTCCTGCAGCCTTCAGACTTAAACTCGATTTTGAGTCAAACCCTTTTCCGCGATGTCTCGCCACCTGTGCGTTTGCCACCTGATGCCACAACGACAATTGCCGACCTCATACAACGCGCATCATCTCATCTCATGAGTCAGGCCCTGTCCTACCATGTGAATGTGCAGTATTATCATAACGTAATAGACTCTCCCTCACTCCCCGCCCACCCTCCACCCCCTCTCCACCCACCCCCTTCCGCGCCATTCCTCGCGCTCTCCTTCCCCCAGCCCCCTTCCCGCATTATCAGGCGAGGCCAGCCTGATCATCATGGGCGCGTGTGCCACTTCGAGGTTGGTAACAGGGTTACCAGGTCGGCGGTACAAGGGATCAACGGTGAATGGTGTCAGGACGGTAATCTGAGGGTGCAGTCACAAGAGGGTGCAATTACTACTTGTGATAGTGTTACATGCACAACCAGATATTTGGGTTACCAGGCGGGTTGTAGTAGGGCCAGCAGGGTTGTGGCGTTACAAGCTATAGGGTATACTGGTAGTCTACTCTGCAGCCAGTGCATGCTTGCAACGTCTCATCCACACTTGTAACTGCCGCCACAAACTCCTTATTTGCCACGTTCCCTTCTTTGCAATGCTGCCTCTCACTAATTATTGCTATAATCGACCCCTCTGCACCGACAATTCCCCTCTCCTCCTCTATCCAACCCACGTTGTTCTGTCGTTCTTACTTTGCACACCTTCTCCCTCCGCCCTCACCAGGTGCATCATCAGCGGGAATGGCAGCTTCCCCATATTCACCTCCCCCTCGTCCGGCTCCAGGGAGGGAAAGTTGACTCTAACCAACCTCAGCTTCCAGCAGGCGGGAGGAGGCGTCTTTTTCAGGGTGCGGGGGGCGATCATCGCGAGTCATTGCGAGTTCGTCAACAACACGGCCCCTGGCGTTGGCGGAGCGGTGCTCAGGTAGGGGATTAGAGTGTTGAATGGGTGACGAGAGAGTGAAAGAGTGTTCGAGCGGGAGTGATGGGGGGAGGTGAGGGCCAGAGGGGTGCTCAGGTGAGTGTGTGTGTGGCGCATGTGAGATTGTGTGTGTCGTGCACGAAGTGTGTATGATGGACATTACGTGTGTAGAATGGATGATGCGTTCGAGTGTGTGTGTTGAAAGTGAGTGTGTGTGGGTCATTTCAAAGTCTGTATGGTGCAGATGCGAGCGTGCGATACAGGTGAGTGCGAGTGATGCAGGTGAAAGTGTGTGGGACATGTGAGAGTTTATATCGTGCACGTGAGAGAGTGTGAGGCGCATGTGAGAGTGTGAGGCGAGTGTGAGGCGCATGTGAGAGTGTGTATGGTGCATGTCAGAGTGTATGGCGGATGTGAGATAATGTGTATGGTGCTCGTGATATTGTGTGTATGGTGCACGTGAGAATGTTTGTGATGCAGGGAGACATGCTACATCAATAATAACAAGCTGATTTGTTCGCATACATAACCTTTCGTCGCGCATTGCTTTCATGCTTGTACCACCGCCGCACCGCCTGTGCTCCTGTGCAAGAGTAATTGTTTTCACTTGTTACCACCAACCACACCACACCGCCCGTCACCACACCACGGTTGGCAGCCAGTAGCGCCTTTGATTTGACAGCCATGCGCCTCGCCCATCTCAAATTTCGCTGCACCTTTTCTTTCTAGCTGTATTTTTCTCAACCACCACTGACTCCTTTCCCGTGACAAACCACCCCTCCCCACGTCCCTTCTCGTGCTGCACCTTCCAAAGCAGCACAACGCCCGTCCCAGGGCTCTATTTTCTGCTCCTTGGAGGCCCTCTTATGCCCTAATACACATGTTCTCCTCCGCCCGCCCCCCATCCACCCTCCTCTCCCCCCTGAATATGTATTCCAACCAAGCAGCAACTCCTTTCATGTGACAACCACCACCTTCTACCGTCTCTTCTTGTTCTGCACCTTCCACGGCAACACTAAGTCCATCGTTGTTTGATGGCCCCCCTATTTCCTATTACACACCCCATTGCCTCCCACACACCCCGTTGCCTCCCACACACCCCTCCCTCCCTCCCCCTTTAATGTATTCCTAATCCAAGCGACTCCTTCCCTGTGGCACCCACCCCTCCCTCCGTCCCCCTTTGATGTATCAACCAACAGTGAATACTTCCCCCTCCCAATGCAAGGCACCCCTGCCAATCGCCGCTTCGTAGACTGCACCTTTCAGAGCAACAAAGCGCCCAAAGGGGCCGGTGGTGCCATCAGCATCAACGCCGGCAGGAGCAACGGCAGCGTGCCTTACCTTTATTTCCAGAGCTGCCTATTCAAGGACAACAAAGCCCCTGGGAATCTGGGGGGGGCAAGAAGCGTGACAGGGCTAGGCAGGGTGCAGTTCGAGCAGTGTGTGTTTAATGGGAACCGCGCTGGTGAGTGTATGTGTGTGTGTGTGTGTGTGGGTGTGTGTGCGTGTGTAAGAAAGAGAGAGAGAGAGAGAGAGAGAGAGAGAGAGAGAGAGAGAGAGAGAGAGAGAGAGAGAGAGAGAGAGAGAGAGAGTATGTGATCGAGGCAGCGCACCCCCAGATGGCAGCGGACCCCTGGCCACTGCACCTGGGGGACATCCTCCACACGCTGGAGGGCTAGAGGGTCACGCAGGGGGGGGGGGGGGGGGAAGAGGGGTGAGCTAAGGGGCTTAAGGGAAGGAGGTTATCATGGATTGCACTGCATGTTTTTGTACCCCTGCTGAATCAATACAAAGGACCGTTTGAGAGAGAGAGAGAGAGAGAGAGAGAGAGAGAGAGAGAGAGAGAGAGAGAGAGAGAGAGAGAGAGAGAGTATGTGTAAGTGTCTAGTGTGTTATGTAGGTGGTCCTGCCTCGTGGAAATTCCTGCGGGTCTAAGATCCTTGGTGTTTTCCCAGAATCTAGCCCTGTCACATCCATTATCCATTCACATATCTCCTTTCCATCATCCAAACACATCAAAGGGAGACCTCCTCTCAAACATGATATCTTTGGTGCGGATTCACCTACCCTCCATTCATCCTCTTCTCCACCCATCCAGGTGTATCTGGGGGAGGAATATTCTCGTTAGACTCCTCCCTCTATTTCGACCGAGTCACCTTCGACAGCAACAAGGCCCTCGGGACCACCAATGGCGGCAAATATTCTCGTGGTATTGGCGACGCTGTCTATGGTGTCTTGTTGGGAACGTTGCCCAATGTGGATTTTCGGTTCTGCTCGTCGTCCTTTTTGGGCACATCAGGGGCGGGACGAAGCTCAGTGGCTCTTCAGTCAGCCTTGAACATGATGGCTCCGAAATTTCCTGGGCTTGTGGCATTTTGCAATGGGAGGAGGCCGGATAAACTGTCTCTGTCCAAAATTGCGCACTGGCGGGTGGAGAACAATTGCACAGCCAGGTGAGGGAAAAGGCCAGCCGGGTAAATGGGAAAGAGTGGGTTAGGATCTGGGGCGGGAGTGCTGTGGGAGCAGTAGGAGCAGGCGGGCTGGGTTGGTGGTGCCCACGAGTATTTGCCGGGTGGGGAGCCGACGCACAGACAGGGGAGGGAGTGTGGCTGAGGGAGGAAAGATAATTGAAAGTTTGGAGCAAATGCTCAGCCAGGTGAGGGAGTGTGTGTGATCAAGGGGCGTGTGAGGAAGAGATGATTTGGCGAGTCACTTTGAAGATTTCACAAAACGAACATCTGGCATGCAGTGGAGCAGGGCATTCCCCAACCAGAGGAGGGTTCAAAAGAAAGTGAGAGTGAACAAGATGAGGGGGTGTGAGGTTGAGCAGAGGAGTGGAGAGTGGGTAAAGAAGAGAGAAGGGACACGATAGTGATTTTCTTCAGTCTTCGTTCCTTGCAATTATGCCTGTCCCTGTCGTTGCTTCCCACAAGCATATCTGAAAATTTGTCTCCTGCTATGAAGTAAGTACCTTATGTGGCAGTCTGCTTGCTGCCTACACTCCACTTCTCCCCTTTGCTCCGTTCTGCCTTTCCCTCATGGTGCTACTGTTCTTTCCGTTCTCCTCTTGCCTCCTCACACCCACTAATTCGTCTTCATGTCCCTCTTCACTCCCATTTCTTATTCCCTTCCTCCACCCAACCAGCTACTGTAATGCTTGAACCATGTCTATCATGCCTCAATGGAGTCAACTATTGCTTTTTCCGCTGGCTCCTCATCTCACAGTCATGAGATTTCATGCTTCAATGGAATGCAAATCTGATATGGATCCATCACTCTTCTTGACAATGCTGAAGAGATACCCAATACCCAATATGAGAAGGGTTTACTCCGTTGACAAACTTTTGTCACAAATGACTGCTCTGCGACCAGCAACCCCACCTTGTCGGTGTGCAAAACATGTTCGTGTTTCTGTTTGTGCTTTCTTACATTTCCCCTCCTTGTCTATTCTGTGTAAATTTTATGGCATAGGTACTCTGTACATGCCGTGGATGTATTTGGTGCTCCAATACTTATATGAATAGCTTGGTATGATATCCTTTATCATGTGTAAAATAACACCTACAAATATAGGACATGTGCCTAGACTCAACTGTTATGTCTCTCCTTCAGCATAGCAGATTTGCATTGTACAACTGTCGTGCCACATAGCGACATTCCGTGCCTTTTCCCTGCACCACTTTGCACTCCCCCGGCTCACCGCAGCTCAGTCCAGCCTTGCGCCACCGCACATGCCTTGGCGCTGCTGCCAGCATTCCTGTCAGCCTGCCTGCCCCCTCCCACATCAACGCTCCGCGGCATCCTGCTGGCACTGCCAAACTCCATATCCTGCCGCGGCCCCTGCCTGCCTTCACCCTGTGCTTGCCTTTGTGCCAATCCGCACTGACCATGCCGCACAACACACTCCCTCACCCTTGCCCCATGATCCACCTTCAACTCCTTGCCTGCACAGTGCTGGCTGCCAGGCAGAGCAGCTCCCAATCTCTCTGCACATGCAGGGGCGGCGGCAAAAGAAGGGTAACCATGTTTTTGGCGATTTGAAGTTCAAGAATCTCGAACTTGAAAAGAACCATGTTGTACTCGGGCTTTAACAATTAAGACTAGAATGCCCTTTCGGATGCCTACTGCTGCCGCTTTTAAACTCTCCAGAAGCTTGGCCCTGTCCATCATAAAAAATGACGAAAACGACCTCGTGGTACTAGGCCATCGATTTGAAAGGGAAATGCATGCGAGAGTGTGTCCAGGAATGTGATCTTGCTGTGCGTCGACCTGATTGTTTGAGGCACCAGGGCGCACTGACTTGGCCATCTAGGTTCGGCATAGTATGAACTGGCTATATGGACCTAGATAGGATGCTAAAGGTGAACTCAGACATTGTATGAACCTAGACAGGATGTTAATGGTGAAATCAAACCTAGTGCACCCTACTCAAACGGTGAGTGGTGAACTCAAACATACTTCAACATCATATCTAGGTTCATACTAGGCTACTCATGCTCGTGTTGGTGCAACCAGCAGTTACTATATGTGTGTGCACATGCGTTTGCATGGAATGGTATGAGAGTATGATAGCAGATGTTCCATGCCTCAATGAGTGTATGAATGATAAGGGAAGAGACAAGAGACAAGAGGGAAGAGGCAAGAGACTGGTCGGGGGAAAGAGGAGGCTACAGCAGGGAAAGAGTTGGAGATGGGTTTGGGAGAAGTAGTGGAGAGGAGGAGGAAGGAGGACAGTCAGTTGAAAGGGTAAGGAAAATCAAGAAGGCGAAGGGCATTGATAGGCGGCAACGACTACTGTGGTGGCTATTGCTGCTGCATCTTTTGTTGTGGCTGCTGCTACTGATGCTGTGGCTGTTGCTGCTGCTACTGATGCTGTGGCTGTTGCTGCTGCTAATGTTCCTGCAATCTCAGCCCGCGGCACCCCCAGGGCCTGAACCTCCTGCAAAAGCACTCCCAGAGCCAGCACCTCCAGTGTCAACACCCCAAGAGCCAGCATTTCGAAAGAAAGCAACCCCCGAACCAGTGCCGTCCGCAGCTGCACCTTCCGACCCAGCACCACCTGTGTCCACAGCGACCGGCAGTTGTGATGATAACCGTTGCAGCGGCGACTGCAAGGTCAAGGTCGGGGGCGGCAGAGACTGTGGGGTGACGTGTGACACACCAAACATGGCAGGAGGTGGGAGGAGGTGGGTGGGGAGGAGGAGAGGGGGGGTCAAGGGGAGGGGGGCTACCAAAGGAGTGGGACCAGGGGGGGGAGTGGGACCAGGAATAAGAGAGTGGATGGAACTGGGGTTCCTCGGTGAAGGAAGCACGCGTAGAAGAAGACGGACTTGTCAAAGGCAATGTCACGAGAGTAAAAGAATCAGTGAGAGGAGGGGGTGATAGAACTGCCAGTCAGGGGCATCAAGAAATAAAAATAGGAAGACATAGGAGAGAGTGCGGGCTGAGAACTTGTCCATGCGAGGATTGCGAACGTGAGTAAGCCAGCCCTATACTCAAAAAGCAGGTGCAATACCACGGAACCTAGTCCACAGGAGGGTCAAGGAACCTGCAAGCGTGAGATACATGGCCACACGTTAAACTGGTGCATGGTGTAGCAGTCTGCAAAAAGGCATAGAAAATGGGGGGCATTGGCATGGCACATGGAGGTACGGGTTCTAATGGCATCAAGTTCCTCAGTTCCCTCCATGTGCCATGCCAATGTGCCATGGAGGCCTCTCTCCCTCTTCACCCCATCAAGTTCCTCAGTTCCCTCTTCATGCCTTGGATCCTTGGCCCAGCCTTTCCCACGTAACAGTTCCTAGTCAGAACTACTACACTAGGAAACCCTAACTCGGCTGCCTGACGGGCACGACAACCCTTAACACTTCAGAGGCTTGCTATGGTTGGCTCCTCCACGGGCATGGTTCTAGGAATTCTCTAGGATCGATTCTTTGCTTAGAGTGGAAAAAAACAAGCAAACAAGTGACTCTGACCTTGGTGCTTGCGTAAGTATCTACTTCTGGTTACCGTTGCTAAGCAACGGTCCTCTACTTTTCGCTACTTCGGCACAATTCCTCGCCGCCTGCATCTTCGACTCCCGCCTGCTTCTCTACAACACTACGCGCTACTGTACTCTGTCTTGCTTTTATATTGTTTCTTCTATCTTCTAATCCTACGATTAAAAGCATGACAGCTGTCGGAATCTCTCTCCTCCTCCATATTTCTCTTCCTGTGTCGGCCCCTTTTTGTGATACTTTCTCTAGGCCTCTCTCCCTCTTCACCCCATCAAGTTCCTCAGTTCCCTCTTCATGCTTTGGGTCCTTGGCCCAGCCTTTCCCACTTGCCCCCTCCTCGGCTCCAGCTCTGCTCCCTGCTGCCGATGGACCCCTTGGTTGAAAGGCTGCCCTCCGCTAGGGATCTCTACGCCCCTTCCTGTCTGCTGGAGTGCTCTCTTGGGGCGGGCCCTAGCCACGTTCGTCTGGTGATCCCGCTTCTCTTGACCCTTCTCTCCCACTAGCACCACTACGCCCGAATCCTTAACTTCTTTCACCCTCCATCGTTCCGTGCTCAGTCCCATAACCATCATATCCTGCCTCGCCTGCTTTACGTACACTTCTTCCCCCACGCCCAACCACTGTCCCCTCTGCTCCGCCTGGCCCTCCATCCTTCGTCTGTATCTCTGAGCGTCTCGCAGCTGAGCCACTTGTAAGTTCTCTAGTGCCGCTGGCAACATTTCCCGCAGATATCTTGCCCGCGCTTCCGCCAGCCCCACCCACTCCTCTTCCGAGCTGGTAGTGACCACATCTTTCAGTAGGCGAGGGGCGTCTACGGGTAAGATGGGTTCCCTCCCCAGCAGCAGATAGTAGGGAGAGAAGTCCCTTAGCGCTGCCTGCTTACTGAATCGGTACCCCGCTACCAACCAGGGCAGCCGCGCGTCCCAATCTCTCTTGAACTGCGTAACACCCGGGTTACCTGCCTTCTGTCGATTCTATATGTAGCCTCGTGTTGTACCCAGGTGAATCAATCATTTTACAACCCAATTTTCTGAGATCGATTCTCGATTCTCACGATGTGGCATAGCTTAGAGGTGCCTAAAGCTACAAAATAAGGAGAGAGGCGGAGAAGGGGAGCAATCAAAGGGAACTGGGACTAGAAGAATCACCACACAATATATTGCTAGGCGAAATGGCTTGCGACGTAAGGAGGGTGTGTTCGCGATGGGTTCTGTACGTGGCTCATCATATTGTGTCGACTCGGTTTCAGTTCGCATAAATTTTGTTGCAGGTGGCGGGCACACTAGTGGTGTCCGTTTTACCATTGCCTATCCAATCAAATGAGTTGAAATCAACCCAATGTGGGTAAAAGGGGCGTTTGTTTACCCGTTGCTTAGCTTGTGCTATCGCCAAAACACCCACGCCACCAGGTGGTGTGTGCCATTGTTTTTTTTTTTTCCCTCAAACACTTCTAACTG